AGGTAGCGCGCGTCCGTCGTCCGGGGCCTTCCGGGGGAGCCGCCCGCAATTGGGGCCGTTCCGGCATTCCTCGGCTTCGGTCCCGGCGCATCGTGACGAGGGCCGTGGCGGTCGACGACGCGTCCTTTCGGGCCACACCCCCATCAGTCTTTTGCACGGACACCCCGAGCGAACCGAAAACCTCGGTCCGGATGACCTGTCCAGATGCAGTATGCCCCTCCGCAGTCTCCGCTCGGCTGCAGCCGCCCCTCAACGGCGGCTCGAGTGGGATTCCGCATCGAGCTTGCGAAGCTCGTTGCCGCACGTCGTGTGCGCGGACGGCAGGCGCCAAGCGTCCGCCGCGCGACATCCGCTCTCGCTTTCCCGTTTCGCTCGCCACGTGCGAAAAAGGCGTCCGCCCATTGCGCTCGACGCCCCGGCCAGCTTGCCGCTCGTCTTTTCCTCTCGTTTGTCAAGGCAAAAAAAACCTCCCCACAGGATCAGACATCCACAATGTCAAGAAGCGAACCACTGCGGTCAAAATGGTCAGCGTCGATTCCGTCAATTCGGCATACGAATCCGTAGCGCTTTGCCGATCAAAGCCCGAGTAAATCTGTGGTCAAGCTGTAAAAATGCCGGCCGCCGCCAAGTTTTCCCTTCATGTGTCTCGGTAGGCTTGGATGAAAAGCCCATCCTGTTTTGAATTAGAGATCGCGCTGACATCAGTGCCTCGGGCGCGGCGGATGCGCTCCTGCCCCCCCAAATCGGCCCCGTTGCAAAGCGAACTTTCGGTGGTCGGGGAAGGCCTCAACCTTGCCATCGCTGGGCCACGTCTTGGCCGAGATGAGATTGGCGCTTTGGAACGCAAATAGCACGCGGGCGGGGATCGTCACCGCAGGGGCTCCTGTCGACGTTCTCGCGACTTTGACCCACATTTGAATTCAGCGGGTGGCCTTCAGGGCGCTCTCCCTCTCGCTCACGCCGCGTTTCATCTCGTGGCTCGGCCGCCGCCGTCCCAGATTGTGGCCCGGTTCCGGCCCCAAAATAGCGCCGCGTGACACTTGCGGGGAAATGGCGCTCAGCGGCAGGCGGGGAGCGCGAAAGACGGTTTGACGCGGCCATATGATCGTGGGCCGCAGTCTCCGCTTGACTGCCGTGGCCCCTTTCACCTCAAATGAAAGTAGTCTCCTTGCCGTGATTGGCGTGTCGCGCGTTTGCCGGCCAGTGTCCTTCCGAACGCTGCGTTGAACGCGCCGTGGCTTTTGCCGCCGTGCTCCTCGACGTCTTTGCTGCAGCGCTCCATTTCCTTGCTGCCCTTAATCTCATTGCTGTTCGTCATACGATTCGTTTTGGTTGGAGGCTAGCAAGCCCCGTTCCATTTTCTTCTCTGTCGGTGTGCCGGCCAGGTGTCTCACGTCAGCGAACACAACAGCCTTCCCCAGTCGGAACCCCCCCCCCAAAAACTTACTCATGCATTTCTGCCCTCCCAAGTAAGTAAACCGTCGGCGAACACACTCGCTACTTCCTCGGCCGAGTGCAGAAATCCATCCCCGCGTTTCGGGTGCGAGCTCTCCGATGAAACATGACCTCTTGGAGGCTTCCCAACTCTTGATCCGCTCCGTTAATGGACTCTCCGCTTGGCGCCGCCGGGCGGACCCGTCCGCCCGTCCTCGCCTTTTAATGTGCGAGAGCAGCTCTGCGTGGAGTCTCCTCGTCTCTTTTTTGGAAACGGGCCACCGCAAAGGCGAGCGTCGGGTGGACGGATTAAAACTCAGCAGGAATCCGTGTCCTCAATCCACAGTTTGGAACGTCGCCGCGCCTTGGCTTCCATGTCCCGTCCGTATCCCCGGTCGGTCGCCGCTTGACCGTCGGCGGTCCGAACTCTCAAGCCTCGCCCTTTTGTGTTTTCCAGGAACAAGAGGCGAACAAGAGTGCCACCAGTTGGCCCGAATACTACATCGATCAGCTCAATTCAATGGCAGCTGTAAGACGGAACGTCGGGGGGGGGGGGGATGATAAGCGTCCCGGTGACAAATACCGTCTCCGTGTTTGCATCGCAGCGAAAGACGCTTGCGGCCCTGGAGAAGGAGGACGAGCAGGAGAGGAACAAAACCATCGAGAGCTTGAAGACCGCCCTCAGGACTCAGCCCATGAGGTGAGACCCCCCCGGCCGCTGCCGCCGTCAGTCGGCGAGGCGACCAATGGCGACGAGTGCCCCGCTCCCAAAGGTTCGTGACGCGCTTCATCGACCTGGACGGCCTGACGTGCGTCCTCAACTTCCTGAAGAGCATGGACTACGAGACGGCCGAGTCGCAGGTGCACACCTCGCTGATCGGCTGCGTCAAGGCGCTGATGAACAACTCGCGGGGCCGCGCCCACGTGCTGGCGCACGGCCAGAGCATCAACGTCATCGCCCAGAGCCTGGCCGCCGACAACGTGCGCACCAAGGTGGCCGCGCTGGAGATCCTGGGCGCCGTCTGCCTGGTGCCCGGCGGCCACCGCAAGATCCTGGAGGCCATGCTGCACTACCGGCGCTTCGCCTGCGAGAGGACCCGCTTTCAGGTGCCGGCCCCGATAAGACGCGGCGACGCCTCGCAGAGCGCCGCCAATGACCTGTCGCCCGCCCGCAGACGCTTCTCAACGATCTGGACCGCAGCACGGGGCGCTACCGGGACGAGGTCAACCTGAAGACGGCCATCATGTCCTTCGTCAACGCCGTGCTGAGTCAAGGCGCCGGAGAGGTGAGCGCCGGGCCCTCCGGCCGCTCTTTTCTCGCTTTTAGGTCTCGGCGCGCGCACTCGCTGACGACCTTTTGTCCCGTCAGACAAGTCTGGAGTTCCGCATCCACCTGCGCTACGAGTTTCTGATGCTGGGCATTCAGCCGGTGATCGACAAGCTCCGCTCTCATGAGAACGCCACGTTGGACAGGTGGGG